CCAACCCAACAATTCATGGTAGGCACAACCCAACCCAACAATTCATGGTAGCACAGCCCAATCCAACAACTCATGGTAGGCACAACCCAATCCAACAACTCATGGTAGCACAGCCCAATCCAAGAATTCATGGTAGGCACAGCCCAACCCAACAATTCATGGTAGGCACAGCCCAATCCAACAACTCATGGTAGCACAGCCCAATCCAACAATTCATGGTAGGCACAACCCAATCCAACAACTCATGGTAGCACAGCCCAATCCAAGAATTCATGGTAGGCACAACCCAATCCAACAACTCATGGTAGCACAGCCCAATCCAAGAATTCATGGTAGGCACAACCCAATCCAACAACTCAGTGGTAGACACAACCGTTAAAGCTAACAGAAGAAATGTGAATATAGTTTTAATACAGTCATTAAAGTGTTACCTGGAAAATGAATATTCTAGAATGGTGCTATTGTGTATATTGGTTCTCGTGTACACACCTTGCTTTGACAACAGATAGTTGAGATTATACATATCCACATTTTAAGAAGTTAATTTAGACTAGCCTTATGGTGATGTTAGGAGAGACAGTAGGTCATTGGTTCAAAAAAAAACATGGACCAGGGAGGAAAACAAAAAAGCCAGGCATGATGAAGCCATATATTTTTTATATTTGAGAGCTCGTGACCAAGCCTGAATTCTTGGTCATGCAATATAGAAAGCAAGAGCAATGGAATCCAAACTCAAACAAATAGCAGGAGTCACAAAATGGGCTGCTAATGGCTTTCCCATTAGTTAGCCAAACACATGTGCCAGGGGTGAGCAGCCCCACAACAAAGCTCCAACCAAAGGCTCTTCCTTAACACACAGAGGGTCCAGTTAAAGGGATATTAATGAATTATGCCAAGTGCTTCCCTTCTACAGAGGGCAGAGCGATTCCACAGGTTTGCCTAATTCCAAGCACAGTGGGTGAAACCCACTCACACTGTACGCTCGTCAGGCTTCTGCTGATTAGCTTGGAGATAATGAAGTTCAATGGAGAATGAGACACGAGGTTTTCCTAACAAACCTTAGAGGTGATTGGGTGCTCATGGGCTCTACCAGAAGGAAGACTGAGCGTGGAGAGAAGGAGGAAACACGATGATTCAGGCACAGGGAGACCTCAGGCGCTCTCTCTCTGGCAAGTGCACACCACCAGCTGGAGGCCCATCAGTGCAAACTCCCACAGCAGCACAGTGCAGCCAAGAGAAAGCTGTCCGACTACGGCCAACTCATGGCATTTCATGGCTGCACTGCCCAAGAAAGCACAAGAGTACATGGGAGAATACCAAGAGCTCTTATCATAATCATATTTTTAAATTAACTCCTTTTTTTTTTCCTTCTGATAAGATTAAAATGAGTTTAATTCTAAATGATAATTCAGAAAACAAATACTCATAGGAGGGCCAGATCAGCACTCGAAGTTTGTTTTTTGTTTTTTTTTTTCCAGGAAAGCGCTTACAAATGGACTCCACCGCCTAAAAAAACCCACAAAACCCAACAGATTATAAATACCAGACACAAGAGGACTGGAAGCAGAATCAGAATTTACCTGGGCTGTGAATATATACCATGATCCTGTGTTATCGTGCTCAGTAACAAGTCCGTTTGTCCTAACACCATTGGAATAGCTTTAGCTTTTTATATATATATATATATATATATATATATATAATTAATATAAAGAATAAGTGCAATTTAATCTCTATTCCAGGTCGCTGATTTCACCCCAATGTCCGCCATCAAATCCCTGCCCCAGCTCACTTGTCCGAACTTTTGCGCGGCCTGCGGAAGCTGGACATGTTTTCATTCAGTGCATAGATCCTCCGAGAGAACTCCTCAAACTCCCCCAGGACCTGTTCATCACACTCCACTGCCACGGCGTGCTCCACCGGGATGGAGTTAAAGTCTTCTAGCTGATCTCCCGTGCTGAACCCTGTCGCTTCCATCCCCATTATTTCCTCTGCTTGCTCCACCGTGCAGCAAAGGACGGGGCCGAGCGAGGGCCGAAACTCACAAGGCTGCTCACTGCTTATGGTGTTGGAACACTCAGCGGGCAGCAGCGCCCCATTTATTGCACTAGTATGTCCTAGGAAAGACTCCTGCTGGTCTTGGGTATTGGTTAGGCTCCCGTTTTCTCCGTTTAAACTGCCACACGAGTCCTCTCCTTTCTTATTTCCTTTTGAGGAGTCCATGGAGGTATCGAGGGAAGAAGATATCGATCCGGGTTTTTTATCTAATCCTCCCGCATGGGCTGCGATGGCCACGGGCTGCGTTAAAGCCGAGTTGTAACTAGGAGGAGGAGTTTTGTACTGCAGTCTCTCGTTTCCCGTGCTAGCTCGTTTTCGGAGTCCTTTATCTGGAGAAGGAAGCCCACTGGAAAAGCCAACATCCAATCTGCCGAAGCTAGAGCTCTGCCTCTTTGGAACAGGAATTGCACTGGATGTATGGTGTCGATCACTATAAAAGAAGGAAAGGATAAATCACAGCTGTCAGGCACGCTCACGAGCAATACAGATGTTTCACCAAAGGCTGAAGCAATTACTTTATCACAACTCCGAGCTCTGTCTGGCCAACCACTTGTATCCTAAAGTGCTAAAAAGCCCACAAGTGTTTAACGCCATATGAACTGCAGAAGACACCCCGGAGGACAGCTTTACTGAAAGCCGGCAAGATCGTGAGGGGAACATTTATGAAACTCCACGACTTGAAGAGTCAATCACCCAAGAAACCACCACGTCACGTTAATTCGGACTGTTAACACCGTTTTATAGGACCAGGCTGCGCTTTATGAATTATTACTGTTGACCGTGTATTTATGTATTTATGGCCTGTGCTGGGCCATCATAAACTCTTCAAAAGCAAGTAATAAGGGCTGAATCCTCTACGAGAGACTTCTTCCAGCAGTGAACTTTACTGACAGCTGCACAAAGGAAAGCCACGCTAACTTTGCTATTTGCAGATGATTAATTCTGCCAGATCTTTGGCTTCGCCGTGCCAACGGTTCCAAACCTTTTTGGACAAGTGTCAACATCGGTTTCTTGTGGAACGTGGAATAATCGAGCTTAATTTACAAGTTCAATTTGACTGTTAATACAGTTCCACTTACACTGTCTCAGGGTCTACAATTTGGAATGTCCGCTTTACGTCATCTGGGGCGTTACATGAATTTTCCTTCATAGGTTTGATCCTTGTCCAAACATAATCGCCATCCTATATGCAAATAGAATGCCCTACCTTAACTTAAGCAACCAGCTCTTTTTCCTCCAAGTTTCTTTTAAACACGGTTATTTCTGATCCCCTGAATGTACAACCAAGACTCGGCAGCTGTCAGTACGAGTCAAATTCATTAGCTCGGCTTAAAAGAAACTCTCCTCCTATTCAAGGCCTGATACATTTTGGGATTTGTCTTGCACGGAGAAATCTTGTAACAGCAGCTATGAACAGCCCCCAGCGTGGATCCTTTTCCATCCTATTTTCGGCTTCTCCCTTTTGTAAACAGGATAAGTAAGGTTGCCACAGGTCCCTGTGTGAAAAACAAGCATCCCTACGGGAAGGCAGCATGCGGTTCTGCTGCTCCTCCATTTCCTCTCCCATCTTGCTTTCTCCCAGGCTGCCCCTTAACGCACGTCTTGGGCTTGCTTCTCTCCTCCAACAACCCCAGTCACCTGAAGGAAAATCTGCTTGCTGCAATTTACAGTTGCAGACAGTGGAGCAGAGCGCCAAGCACCACGCATGCAGCCAGCAGCAAAGCCAGCAACTTTCTCCTTAGATTTCAACTGTTTGAGCCCCTTAAGGCGCACCAAAGAGCATTCAAAGCTCTCCTTGCAAAGGTCTGGAGCGTTCTCAGTGGAGGTGACAAAGAAAGCAGCGTGTGCCACAGATGCTCTCAGGAGCTGTGTATGCAGGCTCAGAGGTTATCCCATAGTCCCTTACTGACCAGAGACTTTCACACCTGGATTTTAAATACTTCAGCCAACCCCCGTACAATCAACCATTTATTTTCAAAATGATGCAATATGACAAAAATCTGAGTCAGGACAATTGAAAACTCTGTTCAGGCAATGTGCACTGCAGATGTATGTTAGGGATGGTCTGCTCTCCCCTCCCTTTCCTCTAGCTTGAACCTTCCAGCCTCGAATCAGACAATAAATGAGGATTTATTTGATATGACTTACTTCATTAGATTCTGTTTATCTCCAGACTTTGCTTTTTTCACGTTTGCTCCAGGCTTGCTGAATCTTTACAAAACTGAGCCCAAAGCATGAGCTGGGTCCAGCCTGGCTGCTAAGAGGAGCCCAAAGCTGTCACAAGCCTTGCGAGGTTCACAGAGGAGCCTGACAGAGCAAGAGCTTCGGTGCTAAAAAGGTTTGGGTATGCCTTGCTCATTGTTCTGCTGAAAGCTTGGATCCACACTCACCTGGAGGCTTCAGAAGGAACAGCTCTAAGCTAGGCGGAAAAGCTGCAGCGTAAGATCTTTACGTAGCGAAGGAAAGGCTTGATGGAAGGGCTTCTTATTTCTTGATTTAGGGACAATGCCAAGAAAGGCTTACAGGAAGTTCTGCCATTTCTCTGAATCTTATTTGACTATCTACAGCCCCGGGGAAGGCATGCAGGAGATCAATATCTAACCCTGGAAGGATTTCAAGCTGTACATTACGTTGTGAATTTAAGCACAGATGAGTGTTCCTCGAAATAGTCATAAAGCAATCTACTCTTTGCACAATATTTCAGTGATAAAAGCTCCGGCCTGAAATGCAAGCGGTCAGAAAAGGGTCCAGAGAAGACACACGAAAAGCACAGTGGCCTCAACAGGCGTGTTTGGAGCAAATCCTGCTGCATGTGGTTAGACTCTTTGAAGGACAAGGACATCCGTGCAGAGAGCTTGGCACACGACTAACTGGCAAGCCCCAAATTACCTTCAGTAAGAGCTGATCAGTCCAACTTAGGTACAACAGTATGTTTGCTACGAAGGTGAAGAAACAGCAGAGATGTAAGTGCCTGAGTACAATGAACATGAACAACTGTAATGTCTAATTAGCTCGAGAGAAGCAGCTTTACAAATTGTTCCGGTGGGCACGTAAACTCGAGCTTCTCCTAAAAAGAAATACAGCCAAACTGCTTTGTAGATGCAGTCAAAAGGGTGAGACATTAATTAGCTTGCAGGACCAGAAGAGTTTTTCAAGTGCTTGTTATGACAAGGCCATTCAAGTTAACATGTTATGCATGTCTGAACAATACCTCTTCAGTACAGCAGCCAAAGTAAAAAAAACCTCTTAGTAAGTCGAACTGGCAGAATGATCTACGCTAAGTGATCTAACAGCCTAAACATAGCAGCAATGCAGAGCTAATCTCCCTCATTTACAAAATAACCTCCCAGTTCTTTAGCAGAGTACATAAGGGCAGTCCATAGGGCAACATGGCAGGAATCATCTTCATTTATCATACCAGCGTTCAAACTAATGAATTAAAACAAAAAGCACTTGCAGCCAGGCTCCTTAAACTACATACGGTTAAATGGGCCCTACTTCAGCCTGTAAGATTGGGTTTTAATCTGCTGGACACATACGCAGGCAGATTGCTGAAACTATTCCTCACTGCCAATAAATATGAATGGGATGGGCTTAGCTTCAGTCAGGAATAATTACAGGGATAACAGCCTAAAGCTGAGAGAGCAGGAATGAGGTCAACAGAATGGCTTAAGCGCCTATCAAATATTAGCTACGGCATTTAGATAAAAATAAATACACATGAAGGCCTTTGGAGATCAGCCATCCAAGAGTTCATTGCCTACCCTCTTTCCACAGTCACTGGTAGAAAAAAATAACAGTGCAGGCAGTGGACAGAAAGGTGAGCAACACCATGCTGTGAGCCCGTGGTGATGAAGGGGACCATCCTCCCCTTTGGATGCCTCTTCTTGGCCATGAACTGAGCAACCGGTTTAGAATGAATGGGTCTCTGTACCCAAAAGCTGTGGATTGTGGATGCTCCATCCCTGGAGGTTCAAGGTCACGCTGGACGGGGCCGTGGGCAGCCTGATCTAGTGACTGATTGAGTGGTTGGCAGCCCTGCCCCACAGCAGGGGGTTGGAACTGCATTATCTTTGAGGTCCCTTCCAACCCAAGCCATTTTATGATTATGCGATTGATCATCATACTGCAGTGAGTGAAATAAAAAATGCATGGTTCTCAGCTACAGTCAAGCCAAGGCATCTTCTCCTGCTCCCTCACCTTCCCCCAGGTGAGAACATGAAGTCAAACCGTAGTTTCAGATCAGAAATAACGTTTCCAAAGAAGCACAGAGCTCAGATGTGCGAGGTTGCTATTAATCTCTACGAAAACAAGCAGCTGACAGAGGAACTCTATTCTACTCACATTTCCCTTGAGCAACGTCTGTATGGTTACCAAAACTCACAGCACTGCATCAAGGCAAAGCCATGAGAAAGAAGTGCTTTATCAGCTTCACAGCTCATGGAATTAATAAGAAAAAGCACTTCACATAGAAAATTAACATCCAATTGCCCGTAAACTGTAGAGAGCGCAAGGTATCCTTGCTAGCCAAACAAGTTCAGCATGCAGAGTGCAGCCCTGAGGCACAGCCTTGACCTGAATCACTAGGGGTGAGCTGGTTCAGCTTCCTGACACAATGACCTGCTTGATCTTCTGGGACAGCAAACAGATGTGGACACCTGCCCAAAAGGAACAGCCTGCAACTGGTGGAGTAGGAAAACCTGGCCTGATGAACTGTCATTGGGTCTTAATGGTGTTTAGTCATCCAGTTGGATCAGACTGGGACGAGTGACACAGAGGAGTAGGTCAGATTGCTCTTAGGAAGTAGAATTTCCAAATTAAAAGCAAAAATGGAAGAGAAATTCTGATTTATTGGCTATCGTAGATAAGAGAATTACATCACCACTGATTTCAGTGCTTCAATTGCATCCAAATCTAGAACGTCAATTTATACAGACTCTAACCTCAGCTACAAGTTTTACTGGCAGAAAATCTACGAGGTATCTGTTTTCTCCCCCAGAATACTCATTTTTATTCTTCAGACCCGTGGTGCAAGACGTGAACTCCGCACTGCAAACACCTACGGTACGCTGACTGAAATAGTGGGCAGCCATTTCTGGAGTTATTTTTCCTAGAGAACAGATTACAACTGGAATCCGTTTGTGGTTTTGATAAAGAGTTTCTCTGGTCAGATTCAGTTGCTATTATTTAATCCGTCTGCAAAGGGCACAGAGAAACTGTAAAGCACTATGAGACAGAACACAATTTGCAGGCTCAAATATGCACCTTTTCCTCCCTGCAAAACGTTTCCTCTGAGGAACATTATTGGATCACAGCTGGTCAAAACACTAAATCTTGATTGTCGGGCCCAAAGCCAAAATCCACAGCTACAGCTCTTTGGTATGAGAATACTTTAAAAAAAAATAACAGCATTTGATCTTTTTTGTGTGTGTGTGTATATTGCAAACTATGACCTCATGGCAGCATGGAGGCTAAATGAAGGTGTTTAAGTTGGTTTACAGCCATCTGAAATGCCTGAAGCTCCAAGCACAGCCCTGGGCCAATATCATGTCAACCGTGCTACAAAGCAATAAGAGCTTCTCACCTTCTCTGAGATTACTGGGTAAGTTACACACGGTGGTGACAGGGATGCTAAGGGAGGCTGCCAGTACGAAGCTGAGGTGAAACTGTGCCTTTTGGCAGCTATGGAATTCTGACACGTGCTTTTGAAATAATAAAAAAAAATCTTCATAAATTAAGCTACCAGAGTTTCCTCTGCTGTAATGTTATGCATTGGCCTCCTGTTGAATCTAGCAGAATACAAACCAAGGCATAACTGCAATTCAGAAGCAACGATAGAATCATGGAGTGGGTTGCAAAGAAGCACAATGAAAGGTAAATAATGCTCTGCACCTACACCTGAAACACATTGTTTGCTTTACACCTTCAGCTCCCCAGGTGTGATACTGCACTGCATGAGAATGTCTTAAGTTTGCTTTTTCACCTACAGGCACCAAAAGGGCAATAGCTCTGGGACTGCATGGATATGCCAGAGAAATCACCTACCTTACTCAGGCTGGAAAACAGAGTGACCACAAGCTGAAAGGCTGTATGGGCTCAACCAGGGCGACTGCAGCAGTGCAGAGGATGGCTGAGCATCTGCACAAGCCTGTGAACAGCTCAGACAACAACGAGGTTTGCCCTTGTTTGGAGCCAAACAACTTTTTGAAAACGTTGAAGAAATCACAGAATGGCCTGGGTTGCAAAGGAGCACAGAGCTCATCCAGCTCCAACCTGTTCCTGCTGTGTGCAGGTCGCCAACCAGCAGCCCAGGCTGCCCAGAGCCACATCCAGCCTGGCCTCGAATGCCTGCAGGGATGGGGCATCCACAGCCTCCTTGGGCAACCTGTGCCAGTGCCTCACCACCCTCTGGCTCAAAAACTTCCTCCTCATATCCAACCCAAACCTCCCCTGTCTCACTTTAAAACCATTCCCCCTTATCCTGTCACCATCCACCCTCACAAACAGCCATTCCCACTCCTGTTTATCCGCTCCCTTCAAGTAGTGGAAGGCCTTGGTGTGCAAGCATCTTTGGGTATAGCTTTTACATAAGGGTCCCAAAGGACATCTCCCTGACTGCAGACAAGGATTTCTAAAGGAACACGTGCGTTAACACCACATTAGTTAATCCTGTTGTTTCATTTCTTCACTAGGAAAAGCCTTCTCACTGCACTGCTCGAGTTTGCAGAGTGCTGCTTTATTTGCTCTTAATACAAATACCGTTCCTCAGAAGTCAGGCTGACTTGTGAACGACAAAGGTGAACACGCAGAAAGGAATAAAACAAAGTCAAGTGTATATGTGTAAGCAGTCCAGGTGTAAAGTACAGATTCAGTGTCTCAAAAGCTAGAATGAACTGCATACTTTCAGATATTCAGAGAACAACTGCATAGGGCCCCTCATGCATCAACAAATGCTGGTCTTAAAAATGAGCTGCTTTTCGGGAAGCCAGCGAGATCCCATGCTTGAGAAATCTGAAATACAGAGAAGTGTTCCCAAAAGGAAACAAAGATTTTGGAGAACACAACTGGGAAAATGTAAATCAAACAAAACTTTAGCTCGTCATCTTTCACCTTACGAAAGTGAGACATCATCTAAATCTGATAGCAGGAAAGTAAGGCTTTGGTGTTGTTTAGCCTCTGTAACAGCATGTGCAGAAGCAGCAGATCTGTCCCGGCTTCATCTACGTATAATACAGTAATACTCTGCAGTTGGGGCACACGAGGAGAAAGGTAAATACAGCAGAATATAGGTGCCAGGAGATATGAAGAGGGAAGCAGAGCTTGCAGACCTGCAAGCTTGATGCAATAAATCATGCAAGTTGCGATGTGAAAACATGTATTCATCATTTAATGCTTGAGAAACTAAAACAAGTCTCCCCAGGCAGAGGCATCCAGCAGCAACGCAATTAAACCTCAGTCCAACCCTGCAGGTATACAAAAGGCTGCAGGCAGAACTATGCAGTTCATCAGAGCCTGAAGCAAAGAAATCTATAGAAAACTGCCAAATTTGCTCCGACTGAAGCCTGAAATAATGGGCTAATTGGTTTTACAACCAAAGTTGTGAGAAAACAAAAACTAAACATCATCCCCACATCTGCAGGAGTAACAAAACTATTCTGTATATATATATCTGATATATATACATATATATATTCTGATGTGTATATCTGATCCTTCTCAGAGAGTGAGGCTAAGCCTGAATTAAATAACTACAGATTTTGGTTACCCTGTTTATCTCTGGGATTCAATTCCAGGCTGAAGAGAAACAGAGATGTCTCTAGAGAACAGTGAGAGCTATGAGTAGGTCCTCTTCACAGATAAACTAAGTGCAACGTAAGTCACAGCACGACTGTGATTTGACAGCCGTTCAGCAAAAGCTGTCTGCAGTGATAACGAAGGAAACTGAAAACCAGCAATTGAACAACAACAAGAAAACCAAACCAGTCAGTGTAAATGAATGTGTGAATAAGAAAAACTCATCACCACCTCACATGCTCCTGCTCTCATCCCACAGATGAAGGATAGCCTGGAAATACTTTGCCGACTGCTGTCTGCAGCACAGATTACTCACCTGCTGTATCCTGAAAACGAAAAATCCCTTCCAATCTTCATTTTAACAGCTGGTGGCCTTTCTGCTTGCTTAAATATATGTAAGCAGATATTATTCACAAGACAGTGGGCATCTGTGCTCCGCTACGCATGTGCTCAACTGCAGTGCCTGGCTGTGGAAGTCTCGCCAGTTTTCCCCTTGAGCCAGGCTCCCTGTAAAGGCTCATTTCCATTTATATTATTAGGAAGCACCAAGGAGCCTTGTTTAGAGTCATCAGCCTTAAGAAAAAGTTAAAAAAGAACAACTATGCATGCAAGTCGTGGAGGTGAGAAGGAAATGAGGCATAGACATTCATGTGGGGGCAAGGAGGGAATGTGATATTCCCAGAGAACTGTGCTTCATATTCCTACATGTTTTGAAATATTATCCGGCCCAAAAATGTGTTTTGTCTCGCTAATGACTGCGTATCACCTAACAGGAAAAAAAAAACAACCTGGCAGCACGAAGGCAAAACCTCCAACAAATACCTAAAGCTGACACTATCTGCTCTTCAAAGCTAATGGACACTAGGAGGGAAGAGCAGAGATGTACACCTTGTGACCCAGAGCCCTCATCTCTCTGCTTATTCGAGGGCCACCTGCACCCATCCCAGCCCGCACACGAGGTTCAGGCACTACAGAAGCCATAGTTTGGGTATTTTAGCCCTTTGTATTCTTATTTAGGTGACCACACGTCATCTTTGGGTTTTGACATCACAGCGATGGATGAAATAACAAACTGACAGCAATATTTGCCTGATGATTGAAGCTTTTCTTCCCCCACCTCGGGATAAGAAAAGAAGGGAGAATCTTTTCAGCTGTGGTTACAACTACTGAGAATGTGGAACTGCACGAGAACCACAGCTTCCTTTTCTCAGGCTCTGTTTGCTGGCTGAGCTGGATTTCCATCAGGCAACACTTGCACTGCTCTGCTCAAAGATGATCCCTCTCCTCCTCCCGTATTTGCCAAGATTATTCTCCCAGTCAAACGATTTGCCAAACAGCTTTGCTCACTTTGATCAGCATTTCTATACGCAAGGGCTGAAGGAAAGATAAAAGCAAAGTGCAGCATAGAAATAAGGGCTGGAAAGTGCTCTGGTACAGTGACGTCCCATAGGACTTTAGGGGCTGTTACTAAAAGCAGAACTCTTGTTCCAGGGGTCTGATACTGAGCCACGTTACTCCGAGGCACATAACTCCATCCAAAGCCTGCTCCTATCATTTTCAATTGGAGCAGCAATGAAAAGCTCTTTTTTCTTTCCCCCCCCTTGCCTTTTAGTATTGTGTGATCACAAGCTGCCTTCATAGCTGTTCTCCTTCCCACGTTCTGCGTATTGGAGGAACAAAGATAGACTCAGTCTACCAGAAGGCAGCAATCATCAGCTCTGAGAAAGCAAAACTCTTTTGAAGTTTCAGTAGTGAGAAGATGGCATACACCAGCAGGGTCTGCTCAGTGCTTCAGGGCATTCAGATACAATACGAACAGCCCTAGAAAGCTTTAACTGCACTGTTAAAGATCAGCCAGGGTCACAGTGGTGTCGTTTCAAATCAGGTTTTTGGGTTTTCAGATTCTCCCAGAAGACACAAACCAGCTCCAAGTTATTAACGTCTGCCCATTAGTGCTTAATAGTTTATTATCTCATTAGGAGCAACTCTTCCACCCTAATTTAGCGTTAACTGTGACAAGAGAGATTATTTCTCCAATCAGCTGAAGCAGTGTTGAGTCCATCTCCAGTCACCAGGGCAGCACCAAGTGATCTGGCAGCAAACCCTGGTGGTGTTACCTCACACTGGATGATATTTTCGACACCTTGCAGCACCTGGAATATCTGCAAAGAGCAAGGCAATGACACAAGGGAACATCCACCAACTCCACACCATTGGGGCAGAGGGGAATCATTAACTGAGGGCTCCTAAAACTGCAGTGCTACGTTTAGGTGGGATTCAGGCATTCAAAGAGTGAAGATGGGAAAGCAGGACACAATTGTTTTAAGGTAAGATGCTGCACAAGCATACGTAATTCAAAAGATCACACATAAATGAGCACAAAGCACGTAAAGCCTGCAAGAATGTGCTTGCAAATGGTCTTGTGAAGGATATCTCAGTGGTTTGAAGGAGAGTTGCTCAAGCGTTATGCTGAAACAGCTTCTGCAAGGCATGCCAGCCTTGTAACAGAGCAGACTGGTTTCTGTGACTTTCTGTATAGGGAATGGAGAGGATTCTGGATCCTCCTCAGCAAACCAGAGCAGAAGCAATTAGCATTTCTCTGGAAGGCTGCCCTGCCTTCAGTCACCAAATAACGGAGCTTCCCATTCAACAACGCTCAACACACAACAGCTATTTCCACAGCAGCGATTGTGCTCATCTTGGTGGTCCAGCTTTAATGATTCTGTGATTATAACTCACAGACTCCCATGCAGCTCACTTGTATTATATTCAAAGCAAATGGGAAAGCAGACGCTGGCCAGGCTTTTAAGATCTGTTCTGCTTAAGGTCTTCCATGCTCCTGGACTGCCACAGTATAGAAGGGCTGGCAGCAGTTGCACCTTACATACAACCTTAAAAGAATGATTAATTCACGCCCTCTTTGGTCAAAACATCGCATTTACAATAATACTTTCTCTCCCACACTCCTCCAAAAGTTAATTTTCTTTCTTTTTTTGTAGCATCCATCTCCTTTGAATCCCTAAAGAAAAAATAAAACTACTTACCATCTGACCATGAGCCCGAGTTCCATGAAATTTTTCAGGTTAGGAAGAGTTTGCCTTAGATCTGGAGTACTCAGCCCATGTTGATACCTAAGCTACAAAAAACAGGCAAAGATAAAATCAGTAAAGCTTTCCAAACCCCACATCCCGATGGATATCATCACGTGCTCCCTTAATCCAGCCAGTTTCCAAAGAAGCTGTAGGATAATCAAGCACTTCCAGGCCATCTATTACCTTGAAGGAAATATTCCATTTAATGCTCATAACCTCACATTAGCAAAACCCACCCAAGAACAGGGACAAACCCATCAGTCAGTACAACTGTTAAACCTCATTACACCCTTTCCGTTTCCTATCTGTAACAGGAGAGCAGCCTCACAGCTCAGTGCAAAGAGCCATCAGGTGGGCAGCCCAAATTTCAACACAATGTCCCACACATTCACCAGCTCCCAACGTTTAATTCCGTGCAAGAGCCATCCATCATCCTGAGCACATCAACGCATGCTGGAACCAGTAGTGGAATTATTACACTAATGTCAACTACTACAAACACATGCTGTCCAACAGCTGAACTGAATCTGTGTTCTTTTAATGGTTTATATCAACATTGAAGTGTTTTCATAATTGAAGTCAGCGTTCAGATACAGCACCACGTAGCTCAGAAACAGGTTCTAACATCAGCTTGCTTTAGCCCAAGCATTAACAGGCACAAACAGAAATCACGTTGGCTCCACACGAACTGCAAGTTGTTCTTACCCTCAGATTATCATACGAAGCACATACAGTATGTTCAAGGAACGTATAGACACATGAGGGATGTGATTTTGGGAGAACTATTGGTGACTGGGGGACGGTTGGACTGGATGATCTTGTAGGTCGTCTTCAACCTTGGTGATTCTAAATGTAACAGCCAATGCTGATCATTTCAAACTGCTCGTCTCTATGATATTCTATGATTTAAGAAGGCCCCAATATAAAAATGTCTTTCAAACGAGCAAGTGGAAGGGGAAAAGAGTCTTACAGATTTGAATCCCAAAACTTGCTCTGCGCAACCTCCCTGAGCTGGTTCTAATATGTGAAATAGCCCAAAATTCCAGTACCATTGGGAAAGGGTGTTGGGAGGAAGCAGCACCAACGTGACATGGAGCTGTCATAGGATGTCTTGGACTGGAAGAGATCTCAAGGATCACGAAGCTTCAGCACCTACAACAGGCAGGGCCACCAACCTCCCCATTTCACAGCAGCCCAGGCTGCCCAGGGCCCCATCCAACCTGGCCTTGAACACCTCCAGGGATGGACGGGGCATCACAGCCTCTCTGGGCAGCTGTTCCAGCACCTCACCACTCTCATAGCACAGAACTTCCCCCTGACATCCAACCTCAATCTTCCCTCCCTCAACTTCAATCCATTTCCCTTGTCCTGCTGTTATCTCCCCTTTCCAAGAGCTGACTCCCCTCCAGTTTGCAGGCTCCTTTCAGGTACTCAAAGCTGTCAGTGGGCATTATGTTCAAACCCTCCAGCACTTCCACCTCAGACACTCACAGACAGTGGCTGTCCCAGTTCAATACTCACAAAGCCAAGCGATGAAACACGGAACAATCCTACAAAGTTAATCTTATTGTATTTTTCGAGCTCCACACCTGTTTCTGCAATGCCTGAAAGCAGACCGCAGGAAAGCAACATCCAATGGGAAGGATTTCTGCCTCAAACCAAGAGCTCACGGAATCCTGCTCAAACAAAGCACCAAACAGGTTTTCCACAGGAAAACAAAACTCTCGAAACCAGGAATGATTCCTGTGCTCTTCTGTGTTGTAGAAAGAAAAACTGCTTTGGAAGAAACCCATCCCGAGCTCTGCGCTGTACAACAGGAGAGCATTTATTACGTGGTTTATTATTTCCATATGGACATGGCCGAGTCATATGGTGGGCTTGGGTTCATATTTTTCTGCTACACTGACAGAACCTGGATGAAGACAACCATACAATATAAATTGCTAAATGATCACCGCATTCTCCTGATGGGATTACAGTGGGTTTGGTTAACCGAAGAACCAGCCCGAGGCAAGAGGAAAAAATAAATTAATTAGAAGCATTACATTTGTTGCTCCTACCACAATTGGATTTTAATAGAACACTCGTTTTTACAGTCATCCTTAAATTCTAAGGTTTCATAGCATGAAAAGAACTGGATTAAAGGATCTTTCTAATCCCAGCAGCCAAGATCAGAGGAATGCATTGGAGCCGTGCTTGTTTCAAAGCACGGACAAAAAAAAATGTTGCTCTGGCTAAAAGCTTTGTGAGATTGCAAACAGGAGAGATGCACAGCAAGGAAAGGCAGGATGCGAGTTCTGGGAAGCCTCTAGAATAAACAGGATAGATTTTACTGTGTAAATTACATTCTGTTTGCAGGCAAACAAGAGCAGAAAAGCTGAACGTGAGCTGCCTCGCTCTCCTAAAACAGAGCTCTGTTTTCAGTTGTTGAATGTCACCATCCCACCTTGAGATAGCAAGGAACCAAGAGGAGATGGTTCCTTCAGCATGCAACAGACCCAGCCATCCAAAGCTGAACAAGTGCCCACAATTAGCATTCACTTCTTTGAATGGCTGCGTAGACCCTGCATATAAATCACTAATGATGCTCTAATTGCCATTTCCTGGCTTATATTTAGCTCCTACACACAGTTTCATGTTCTTCAGTGCTACGTGACTGAGCAAACACACGTAGTGGACATGGGCTGGGGAAGAACTGCACTGCAGACAGCAGGCACTTCAGAGAGTGGCCTGAAGCCTCCTTTCTGACCAGTTATTATCAACACTTATCCCACAGAAGGAAGAGATGCATCATACTTCACAAGCAGAGAGCTCAAGGAAGGAAATTAGGAAGTGAGACGTCTTAAATTATACAGAAATAACTTTTACACATCTCAAAATGAGACATTTTTGGAGCTTTCTTCCTTTGGCTTCTGAGATGACATCACTCCAGGTTGGTTACTAGAGATAAAAAGAAAGGAGTAAAACTGGTGAAAATCACAGATTGGTTTGGGTTGGAAGGGAGCTTTAAGATAATCTATTTCCAACCCCCTGCTATAGGCAGGAGGCACTTTTCTACAAGATCTTTGGAAACAAACCCAAATTCAACCCGTGGGATCCTTTCATTCAGAAGAGATCCCTACCCTCTAGAAGCTCCATGTGACAAACTGAAGTTCAGCATTGTGAAAAGCTTGAAAACTCAGATGAGGCCGGATTTATAACTGTTAGTCGGTAACTGCCCAGGGGCTGCTCTGTTCAAGACTCTGAGTTTTGGCTTGTCCTAAGATAATCCTAAAGGACACCTGTAAAAAAGAACCTAAAGAAATAAGAGATGAAGTTTAGATTGAAGTCGACTCCACCTCTGCAGAAGATCAGCCTGTCATACCAGTGGGTACCTGCTATGCTGCTGTGCTATTTATTCCAGCATTGTGAAGAACCATACATACAAGGTTCTCAGAGCAAAAGGTATTTTTGTCTTAAAATGTGTATTAAACTGCATAGATTCAGCTGCTGTCTTATACTCTCCATAACATAAGTGGCACAAGGACTGTTCCACTCCCTCAATTAAACTGGCTTAACAAGGAGCCACTCAGCTACCTTTCTATTGCTGTGCAATACCAGGCTGTATACCCAAAACCAAAATTAGGGCTTTTCCCACTAAGCAGCTGCCTCTTATAGAAAACAAGGCTGTTCTGAAGTTACGTGCAAAGAAGAACAGACTGTTTCCTACACTAATTCCTGTTAGAACACTTAATGATTAGCAGTATACAAGCAGATGTATTTACTTCCAACCAGAAACCACAGAGTATCTGCTCTAGAATACTCTTTGTTGGGAGCTCCAAATGACTCCAATTTTGAGCTCATCTGTTCATCATTTAGCATACCGCTTCCCCAGCCATATTTATCTTGTTCTAAGACACGTGGGAGCAGTCTTACAGCTCAGACTATGTTAATAAAGTTCAAAACGCCGGTCCCTTCAGTACTTGGTATGCAGAACAGCCAGTCTGCATCGAAACCTCCAGCATTTCTGCACTTCCTTTAGTCTCAGACGGTGAGACAGCAGGTCAACCCTGGAGTGTGCTCTCCTAGCACCATCTGCATCCATGCAACGGGGGGGAACCCAAGGCCCTCCTACACTGTGCACGTGCTATTTTCAATGACTCTCAGTTAAGTGAGGAAGGGCTTCCTCTTTTGATAGCATCAAGGAGTTTAAAAGGACATCTGCTCCGCAAATGTGAAGGCACACAAGCGAAAATAGAAGCAAGACTGTTCTCTCTCAATCAAGTTCACGGCGTTGGGAGGAAGCCAAGCATCTACAGAAGGTTTTCAGAGGTTGTCAAACGCTGGGACACGAATATAAAAAGCAAGTTTTAATAAAATGACATAGTTAATTGTTTTACAAGATCCTGGATGACTTTTCAGAGTATGAAAGAGCGCTGGCTGGGATTCAGATGACTAAGCACAGCAGTAATGAAAACAGAAAGCGTTGTTATAATGCCTGTTGCTATATAAACAACCTTGGGGGATCAGTGAAATAATGCCTGCTGCTATATAAACAGGTGTGTGTGTTTGTACCTTTTGGGGGAAATCATAAAATTGCAGATTATTTGCACTCTTAACGTGTCACTTGCCTTTGGTTCATTAAGCTTAGCTGGTTGTTCCATCTCTGAACTGCTATGCATGTTTACTGCAAAGCTAGTCTAGAGCTGCAATATTAGCGAAACACATCGTGGTATATCAGTGATATCACAGAAGTAAACACTTAAATGTAAAAAATCCAGATGAGTTTCAAAAGACTGTCAGGCAATATCGATCACAGCTTAGAAGTGAATCCAACCAAGGCTTCCCTGCCACCAAATTTCTTGGGAAGCTCTGTAATGATAGCAAATCTTCAAGATCTCCTCACCTCTGAATCATAGGATGGCTTGGACTGGCAGAGATCTCAAGGATCACGAAGCTTCAGCACCTACAACAGGCAGGGCCACCAACCTCCCCATTTCGGAGCAGCCCAGGCTGCCCAGGGCCCCATCCAACCTGGCCTTGAACACCTCCAGGGATGGACGGG